GAACTGATCTGGGTGTGCTATATAGAAGATGAGTGCTCATTAACTGTAAATGTTAAAGTTAGCTTTGTTTTATCCCATCTTTGCATCTGGCACCAAACTGGCATGACCAAATGGTCCTTTGAATTTCTGTCAGAGGCTGCAAGCCAGGGAGTGGCTTTTATCCCTTTGAACTTTTTGTCTGTTTCTTAGTTGTATTTCTGTCACCTCACAGAGAAGAAATAGTGTTTTCTGGCAGTGGTTGTCAACCAAATCCAACTCCAGGGCTCTCTGCTTGGCATTGTACCAGTTCATTGTAGCCTAACAGGAGATCACTTGGTGGGACCGAGGGCTTGTGAGGTAACGTGAGGGAAGAAGAGGGATACAGCTGAGGGAATGTGTGAGACCCTGCCAAAAGATGTGCTTCTGCTGTAGCACAGATCTTTCAAGTTGATCAGGGTCCTAGAGCAGAAAGAAACCTGGACCTTGGGCTACAAATTCATACCACACAGGCACATCCCCAGTGCAGAGTGAAAGAGGTAAACAAGTGAGCCTTACTCTCCTAAGGCAAGATACCATGCTAGTTTGGAAGTTGAAGACTTCGGGATTATCTCTTGATCTTCTAAATGACCATGATACATCTATTCTTTAATACTTTCACTTGCTGTGTTTCAGAGTGTTTTGATAGTTACTAATAGTTCAGCTCAGTTTTTCTGTACATCACATAGAACCTTGAGCCCTTTAGAAAGTACTCTGAACAGCGTCTGTGAATTTGTGGCTATCAGTGACAGGACAGTTATACATACTCCCTGCTGATATAGTAGGAAAACTAGCTGCCAATTTACAACACAATGCAAAGATGATCTGTTGTTTATTAGTTGCTTTTTTTGAAGTTACTTGCCAATTCCTTAATGTCTTCTCTGCTCTTTCCTGTCTAGAAAGCAATTCACGTCAATTCAGAAAATGTTCTTCTCTGCAATAAGCCCCAGTCCCAAACAGAGTCTTGGTCACCTCTATCCAGCACACCCAGGGACTGCAGAAGGACAAAGCTTATCTTTGATGATATGTAAGTACAGATGACTTTAAAGAAAACAATGTAATTTCCTGCATTTTAAGACAGAAAAATAGAAGTTGGTCCAATGGAACCTGAGTAATGTCCAGAAGTATTATAGTAATACTATACACTGAGAAATTAATGAGACATACTATATTCACTCCTTCATTTTTTTTATCATAAATTAAGCTTCTAATTAATCAGTGAGCAGTGAGAAATGGCTGTTCCCTAAATGATGGGGAGTCAGAAGCCAAGGAGCAGAATGCAGCTGACAGGGCAGGGGCCATGACAGCTGGGGGCCAGTCCCACTGTACCCAAGCCCTGTGAGCAGGGCAGGCTCAGGGCTGGCAGACATTTCAACCAAGAGACAAACTTGTCTGATCCTCAGACAAGTCCACAGTGATGAGGCAGGTCCAAGATCAGGCCTGGAAGTCGGGTCAGGATCAGGTCCCATGAGGGCCAGACACCACACAGTGATTGCCCAACATGCATAGTGACAAGGGAGGTTTGAGGTCCAGCCGGGAAGACAGTCTCCAGGTCAGGGTCCAGATCAGTGGAGGCCATGGCCAGGTGCAAGCACAGCTGTGAAAAGGCTGAAGACAAGCACGCTTAAGATTAGTTTCACAGGGAGTGAAGGCCCAGACCTGAACTTAAATGGATTTATTTAGCCCATGGGCAGAGGAGGGAGGCTCCACATGCAACACGTCAGGGCCATTAAGGCTTTATTAGTACCCTTGGGGCTCTGGCATTAATTATCCACATATCAGACTATTAATATATACAGAACCATAGAGAGGTGGGGTCAGAGGAGCACTCTTCTTGTGCACTTCTTAAAGCAAGAGGAGAGGACATATGGGAGCCTTTCATCCCAGAGCATTGACAGCTGCTGCTGTCATTGCTGCTGCTGCTGCTCAGAAAAAGGTGTCACAAAGGCATGGCAAGTAGGAGGCAGCAGTGGTTAGCCTGAGTATCTGTGGGGATACCTAGCTCTCCCCACCTCCACTGCATCCTTCAAACATTCCCTGCTTTCCTTCTCTGAAAATAATTTTACCTTGTAATTGTCTTTCTTTTATTTTTGGTAAATTAAAATTGCTGCTGGTTCATTTCCCACGATTATTTAGGATGTGATGTTACTTAGATAAGGTGCCAAGATGAAACTGAGTTGAAATCCTACTATCTAGAATCTAGATTCTTTTTGACTGGTCATGTTCTGGCCTGAAAATACCAATTTCTTTTTTTCCTGGCTAGTGTAGAAGAGGTTCTATTCAAGCTATGCCTCAGACTGCCTGGAGCTCCATAAGTTGTGTGACCTTGACATGCCTTTCGTACTCCCCGACTACATTTGAATAGAACCACAGACATCTCTAAATCTTTTATACCAAAGGAAACCCTGAAGTAATAGCCCTGTTTCCTTAGAAATTGCTTTCTACTAACTGGGATATATTAGTAATAATAACAATAATAATAACAGCAATAACTATTATAATAGTAGTAGAAGTAGAAAGGTTTGTTCATAAAAACTCATCTCAGGGACAACTAGAGGGATGGCAGCCACTCATAAAGAGAATCCAGGTTTTCTACTATAAGATAGAAATAATTCCCATAGACTTCAAAGGGATGTAACTGTTTGATATGTCAAGAAAAGAAGGCTGGTGAGATTCATTTCTGTGTGTGTTCATGACAGTCGTGAGGAGATGTAAACTGAATTAAATGTAATAAATTTTTCTACCTCTTTTGGAGAAAACTCTCCCCTGTGTATGTCCATATTTTCCCTCCTTCTCCACTTCCCTCCATGTTATTTTTTAACTCATCAAGTTAATCTATTCAACAATCTCCATTGAGGAAATTTGAAGCTGTTTATAAGTACTGCCGAGTTCAATAATTTATAATCTATAATCTACTTGCAACTGTTCAATTTTTCTACAGTTTAAGCAGGCACATACAAGGTATCAGTGTGCCTGGTAAAAGTCAGAATTGTAGGATGTGCTCATCTGTCTGGATTAGGAGAATAAAACCCATAATCATAAACAGCTACAACAGAACTGTCTTCTGATTTTTCTCTAAGGATACTGACAAAAATTGGGGGAATGGTTTGTTTTGTCTTTCGCCTAAAATGCTGTCATAGGAAAACTGCTTTTTCCACTGCCTTTGTCATCTAAGGGGTGTTTATCACTTGCTTTCTCCATTAGTGATACATGTGATTACTTTGACAGGCATCTTAAATAAAACTGTTTCACCTCTTCAGAGAGAGATACAATTAAACTGTTGGCAGATAGTGCCTTCCATGTAAAGTGTCCCCAAGCAACTTGTGGCCCATTAAAAAAAGCACTGTAAAAAGCTAAATAAGATAAAACACAGAATCAAATATGTCTTAATTTGCACTTAAAAACCAAAAACAGTTAAAAGCCCGTTGTGCTAACTAGAAGAGGGAGTTTTCCATGTGCTACAACTGTCTTCCATAACCTTTATCTAAGGAACACCACCAGAACACCAGCTATACTAGACCTCAATCCTGAAATTACTGTGTAGAGAAGTCACTGAAATATAGCAGATTAGACTGGCTGCAAATGTTAAATGTCAACAAATTTGACTCACATGTTAGAAGGATAACATTAAAAATGGCAGCCAGTGTCTTTCACATTCTTCTAGTACCACAGCAGAGGATTTGAAGAAATGCAAGAGTAGGTCTAAAATTATGTAATAATCCTAATGGCAGCATTTTGTCCAAAATTATGGTTATGAAGTATTTCATCTCATAATCCATGAAATTCTGCTTTATTGTAATCCAGCCATGGCTTTAAAGTCTTTGTTGTAATCAGAATCTGTAGTTTTTAAGAGACTAAATCCCTTATATTTTATTTTAAACAACAACTAATATTTTTGACCAATCAGCATCTCTTCACTTTATTCTCAATTTATTTTCTCCAGATCATTGGCAACAGCTGTCACTAGCAGTAAATTGGAACACAAGTAGGTCAATAAAATGTGTCTCTTGCTTGGCAGAGTGCTGTATACACATACATTGCAATATAACAGTAAACATAGCTAACAGTCTTCGAAAGACAGGAAAAATCCTACTTTCACTGGTTTGCTGTTGTTTATTGCCTGCTCTAAATATGCTTCGAGGTACCCAGCATGCCACATGTATAAGTGACATCAGTGCTGTCTCCCATATTAATTCTTAATGAGATTTCCTGCATTTTTGGCCATTTCTGACTCTGTGAAGAGAACATTTTCAAGGCTACAGAGTAATGCTTCAAGCCAAATTCAGTCCTGCTGTAATTTCACTGAATGCTAGAATTCCCAATAACTGCATTTAGGAACAAAGTCTGTTGTCCTTGAAGTGATAAGCACAGACATGCTGTGGCTGCCTGTGGGCACAGTCCCACACCCTCCCCCAGATGCTGCATGTGTGGTATAAAAAGAGCAAAATGTACCTAGCTTCCCAGTTTTCCTTATGGCTAAATCTGAAGTTGCTCCTGAAGATTTTCTCACTTGCATTGTGGGTTACCCTTTCAAACTTGGCGTTTGGCTTGTTTACCTTATTTTTTTTTACTATTTATTTATTTATGGCCTTATAGGAACAAGACAACACATCTTCAGCTTTGGTGGGTTTCTTGGTTCATATTTTATTGAATGTTTGTTCCACCTCTATGGAACTTCAGGTGCTACAAACACCCACCAGCTTCTCATTGTCCAAGGGACATGAAAGACAACATTCCTGCAACCAGTAAATATCTATACACAGAAAATATTCCACCTGTAAAGATGTTATACATATAGCCTATGAAGAGCTCTAAATAAAACTTTCTGGTGCATCTTTCTGTTTCAGCTTGAACCCCAAGTCAGCTGTGCCCAGGCATTGCCTTGGACTGAGCTCAGAACTATGCCAGGGAGAGAATTAGCAATGGGTGACCAAACAGTAGAGCTGGTATCCTTGCCTTTCTTATTCCACTCACACAGACATAGCCAAAGAATGATTTTACTGACAGACTCAGATCTGAGATGGCTTCTGATAATTTTTCCACTAGGGAAGGAGGATTGGTTTGCATCAGCTCATTTTAACATTTATTTCTCTTACTTTACTGCTTGACTAGAAAATATCTTTAGTCCACAGTAAATCATAACTGTTAGCAGGACAAGGGCCCTCTAATCAGGCTCAGCAAACTCTCCTCCAGCTACCAACAGCAGAGCTGAATCTTTTCACAGTATCACTCTGACTGGAAAAGACCTTCAAGATCATCGAGTCCAACCACCAACCTAACTTAGATAGGATAGTCTCTCCTCTCTCACCCGTCTTTCCTCACCCCTGCAACTGGTGAGCAATGAGCAGATGCCTACAGAAGATGATAAGCACTCTCCAAACCTTTTTGCAACTCGTTGTCTACTCTAGGTCTCTTACTGACTATGAGGAAATCTAATCTAACATCCCATTATGTCTACCATTCTACCATACCCCTGGTTGTAGACAGAGTTTGTTTTCCATATGTTTGGTAGCAAACATTGCTTTTTTCTTGAAGAGCTAGAAGTCCTGAGTGCAACTCAGGGTTTGTCTTGTTCCAGATCATAGAGCAGCATGGATTTTCATCACCCTCAATGCCAGGATTCACAGGTGTGGTGTGTGAGAAATATTCTAATGCCTCTATTTGCAGCTTAATTCCTAATTCAGCTTTGCTGTCCCTGTAGCAATGGTAAATATCTTTGTTTGAAGAATGTAGTTCAAGACCATTTTCCACAATATAATTACACAGAGGTTTCCCTTTTGGACTAAAAAGCTCAGTGTAACAGCCCTAGGGTACAAAGGCTGTGATCCCCTAGGAAAACCTGGGACCTTTCCTGATTGTTCCTTCAACATATAAAGAATATTTTTATCTTACAGGGATAATGAACCATACTAGCAAATTATCATAACCACTTTAGCCTAGAGAATCACAAATTGACTGTTCAAATTCATTTTTAGCCTGGGAGTAACCTGTTCATCTTGAGAGCCAGCAATGAACCATGGAGCTGGA